AGGAAAGACGCCTGACCAAACCCATCCCACAAATTTGGCAGCAGCAGAAACGTAGTGCTGTGTTGGCCAGGCTGCGGGAAGGCGGCTACGTGCGAGCCCAGGCCTGCGTGGAGAGTGGCGTGCGCGCTGCTGTACGCTTACCGAGCAAGCTCTCCCAGCTAGCGGTGAGAGGTACGGCCCAAAACCGTCATAAACCAGACCCTCTGCAGTAGGTCCTAGGAAGGTGAAGACATATTAGGAAGTAGAGCCTTGACTGGACTTTCTGTCATATCCTTTGTCATCTTCTAGTCCTAACTTCTCTACTTGTTCCCTCTGTCGGTCTCCTTCCTGTCCTCTGCTTTCTCACGCCCCCTCGCAGACTGGCAGATTCTTCGGATACCGAGACGCCGTGTGTCATGAGTGCGAAGTGCATGCGCTTCTGCAGTTCCATCGATTGCTAACAAGGCTGAGTCAGTTCAACGCAAGAGATAGTTACACGGGACAGCTTCCCAAAACCCTGCTTTGTCTGCAGTTAAGAGTTGCTGGAAGCCAAGTATCCCAGGTCTGCCGCAAGCGCTGCGCTTCAAGCAGGGAGAGCTCGCAGGGGTGTAATTATTAACTGCGGATCTGCAGCGAATCAACCCTGCCTTCCCTAGTAAGCCGTGCACAACAGGTTTTTTAAAGAGAGTATAACCATGAAATAATTGCAACATTAGGAGGGCATTCTGTGGTGAAGGAATGATTAATTTTTATTCTGCCCGGTCTTGCTTTCTCAGTTCCCTAATATCCACAGTAAATTACTTCAGCTTTCAAACCTATGAAGTGTTCTTACGTTAGATAATTGTTCTAAATGCAGCACTTCACTGGAAATCAAGCTTCGTTTTTCCTCCTTCGTATATCGCCCATGATAGCATACCTGGCAGTTTGGGTAATGGCCTGTGAAGCACAACAGAAACCAAACCATCCGTCTGTCCCTACCCCTTCTCTGAAGTGCTGACAAGAAGAAAGATGCCTGTAGATAAATTCAGCACGTATGACTTAGAAGACGCAAGTGGAACATTAAAGGCCATTTTTACAATGTAATTAATATACTGTAGCATCAAAGCAATATTTACCTAATGACAGAAGTCTTCTCTTCGTGCTTTCCACTGCTGGTTTGCCCACAATAAAATACTGTTGGAATCCGCCTCCACCCCCCTCAGCAGAAAGTAGCTGCGGACAAGTTTGGCGGTGAACGTGTTCGCTCACAGAGGTGACCCGCAGCGCAGCTCTCCTGGGCGGCTTCTATCAGCAGCCGGCAGCGAAGCCCCTTTCCAGCATCCGAGTTTGCATGAGGGCCTGGCAGGGGAATGTGCTCCTCCGCTCGCGACCAGCGCCAGTAAATCACAGCGTGACGGGCTCACCGCCCCGCCGCTGAACTTTTAACTTGAAGCTCTAGCAGGGCGCTGAGCAGCTCCGGCTACATGACACGGAGCTGTGAAAGTAAATCACTTCGCTGGGAACAAGGGGGAAGTCCAGCATATTGTTTTGCAGACTTTGCCTACAGCTTCTTTGCAGTATAAGCATAGAATATATACATCCGGGAAAGCAATTAGAGAGAGATGGACTTCCAGCGCAGAGCTCACCCTTACCCCATCCCAGAGGATGAAGAGGTTGCACACAAGGTCGCTCCTGATGCCCACAACTCTGCAGGAAATGAAGGCGAGAAACCAGTGTCAAAATTGCAACGTAGGCACAGTGAGATAAAACTCTACAAAGAGTTTTGTGACTTTTATGCAAGATTGTAAGTTCGTTCTGTTCGGCTTCGGGGTGTAACTACGGTGATATTACTGGCATATTGTACATATGTATTTTATTATCTGAGCTCCGGGCAGGCTGTATAAGCCGTTCTGTAATGCAACCTTTGCCACTGTTCTGCTTGATACATTGCCAGTTGTAATCGTCAACTAAAATTTGAGCTGTTGCTTTAAACTTCATCATTAATTGCGTCAGAAATTTTTGTCGGCAGTTGAAACGGGGTTGGAATTTGGAATTTGTCAAGTAGTCTCCCCGACTTTAGGTTGTTTGCCTATTATTTTGGGCAAACTGTTTCACTAATGCAGAAGTATTATAGTGCATCACTGTTTTTGCATATATGATGTGTTTCAAAGTGAAGTACTTTTGCATACTGAGGCAGAAAGCTTTATTTTCATTTGGTTTTGAACTTTGTTTCATGTTTTTGCTTGGATTATACTTTATGTCTGGCAGCATTTAACATCCTTAGTGCTTGAGAACTGTTGAGGTGATGATGAAAGATCCCAGTTTCTGTTGGGATCTTCATTTAGATTGATAAGGAGGACAGATGAAGTGACTGAGGTTTTCCCCCACAGAAAGCATACACAATCCATGGAGACCATCAGCGAGCTTTACAGTTAACCACAGTTTATACGTATAATCCCTGCTGTTTGTCCATAGGCTTGTCTGTTATGTATGGGATAGACCATCCTCCATCTGATCTCCTTGTAAAATTTGCCCACTTGTTGTTTCACCGAGAGGGCGGTGAATATTTGGGTAGCAGTTACTGTTTTCCTCTTCTGCAAAGATCTCTAGAGAGAGAGGAAAAAAAAAAAAGCCAGCTAATAATAACTGGTCAGATGTGACCTTGCATAGGGCTATTCTGTGAGACAGTGTAAGAAATAGATAAAGCACATTCCTTTTTGAACCACGTGCTAGGTGTTTTCTTGCTCCCTTAGATGCTGTGCGAGGAATGAATTCAGTTCCTGTTGAACCTGGTGGGAGCCAAGAGGTCTTATCCCCTTTGGGGGAAAGGCTTGGCATCTTGCAGAGGACTGAGGGCTGTGCACTTACAGGCGCACCATGATAGCTCTATCAAAATGTGTGCATGCGTGCACGTGTGTTTAAAATAATGTCGGTTGTTTAGTAAGCTTCCAGATAGATGTTTGAGTCAGTGGTTTTGTCAGCTGTGGTCAGGTTGTAATGAAACTAGACCATTGCCCTATATTTGCTCTCTGTCAAATGGTATTAGGGCAGAGGGGTGATCCTGAAAGGCATAGCTTTGGGAGTCTAGATACGAGTAAGAAAATGCTTGCAAAGGAAAAATCAAATAAGTCTTTTTCTGGCCTTAATTAACTGAAACACAGCTGTACTGTCTGCGGCAGATGTGGACACAATCCTAGTGAAGTAGCCAATTCCTCTGATATTTTTCAGCTACTGCTGTCATTTTATGATCACGTGCCTTTGAGAAGCAACCAAGGTTACAATTTGAGTAATTTTTGCATTCCTGGCGTGGGGTTGCCAGCTTGTGTTGGCCTGCGTGTGGGTCACAGTGGGCAGCCAGAGCATTCCCACCCTCCCCCTTGGCCCTGGACCGACACCAGCACGCAATGAGCTGACCTCCCTGAGATGAACCCTAACAAACCAACCAAGAATCCCATGGCTTCAAACTAAATTTGTAAAATGACTTCAAGCTATGCGAAGCTTATATAAGGAATAATGGTTTACCTGTTCTGGTTTTCAGTAATATCTACCAGACTAGATACCATATATTCTTTCATGTTGCTTATTTAGAGTTTTTGAATCAATGCTGTTAAATATATTTTAGAATTAGGAATTATTTTGTTTTCCTATGTGATGCCAGTCCTCAGTTATTTTTAATATTTGCCCTTGTTTTCTGTAATTCTAACGTATTTCGTAATTTTTATAGTTCTTTGAATTGCCTGCCTTTTCTCATCATAAAAAGCCTATGAATGTGTCTGTAATAACGACATTTCTGTTTGTTTTTTTGAATTAATAGTTATTAGAGTGCGTTGTGGGGGTTTTGTTTCTAAAAGATTTGGGAGCAGGGAAAATGGCAGTTTTATTTCTGAGGGGATGCCACAAGTCATTAAGTCCATTAAAAAACTTGTGTTGAGCAGCCTAGCGTTAGGCTGATGCAGTTGGCTTTGGGGAAAAAAAAGAGACTCACAACCAGTGGTGTTGCCTATTTGGGCTGATTTTCTTTCTTTTTTTTTTTTTTATGACAGCAACATGGCGAACGCACTTGCAAATGCCATCTGCGAGCGCTGCAGAGGTGGCTTTGCCCCTGCGGAGAAAATCGTCAACAGCAACGGTGAGCTGTACCACGAGCAGTGCTTCGTCTGCGCCCAGTGCTTTCAGCAGTTCCCCGAAGGGCTCTTCTACGAGGTAAGCGGGGCAGAGCCCGTCTCGCCCCCAGCCTTTGCCTTGCACCTTCATTCCCATATCAGAAGTAGCTACGGGCAGATCAATAGCTTAGAAGGCTCCGTGGCAAGAATGGGGCTCCGAAATGATATGCCCAATAGAGAGAGAAAAAAGCAGAAATGTTTCTGTGCCAATTTGGAGGACATCAATATATATAAACTCACTTAAATATGTAGCCTTATTTTATCAGAGCTGAGAAAAGAACTGCTGGAGATTTCTCTCAGTGCAGACTTTTTCCCCTGAAATTTGTGAAGACAATCTATATATCATACCAGAAATACAAAGAAAGCATACTTCTTAGAGGAAAACAGTCATATAGAAGGAAACTCCAGTATCCTGCGGTCCATAGGAGATTTATTGCTGAGTTGAGTGGGGCCGGCATGGCATGTGAAAAGTTGCTCGTAGGCATGACCTGTAAGTCCGCATGCTGAGATCAGGGTGCGCGGAGAGCCCAAACCAAATGGGGCCTATGTAGGGTCACCTCTAGGTTTAACAAACTGGAGCATTCAAAATTAGTAGTTCTTACACCCTTTCAAGGGTTAAAAGCCGCTCTCAATCATATTCTCAGCCCCAGGTAGACTGCCCTCAGCTCAGATGGGTATTTCGATATTGGTCTCAGTTTTCTTTTGCCTTCCCCTATCATGGGGATTCAGGATGTGGCTCAGCTATCTCAAGCACAAAGTGGCTTTAGTGAAAGCTTTAGACTAGTTCATAAAATATGAGGTGATTGGTATAAGGAAGGGTAGATGATGTGAGACAGGGAATTACTGTTTGAGAGATAAGGTCCTGCTCAAGTAGCTTGTAGTTCAACTTGCAGTAGCGGTTACAGGACTTACATCATACCGTGATCTGAAAAGGAAGGTGAGCAGTGTGTTAAAAGCACAATGCTGTGCTCTCACATACAATGTCCCATCCTTGCTGCAAGAGCACAACAGTTTGTCTTCCACAGTAGTATTTCTAATTCTACAGAGCCACGTTATGTGGTGATGAGGAGAGGCTGAGGGAGGAGTGTGGGCTGGAAAAGAGACTGGCAAAGGGGATTCCTGGGGTTTGCTTTCTCTCACCTTGTTTGAGAATCAAAAGACTTTTCAGTGCTGTAGGGATAGTGTTGCACAAATTGTGGTAAATGAGCCACTAGTGTTCCGTAAGACATCAAAAGGTGAGCTGCAAGGCAGTAGCAATTAAATAAAAACAAAACAAAACACCCCCTAGATACTTACACATTGCATTACAATTGTTAATATATACTGAGCTGCTGCCTGCTTGCAGGCATGGTAAGGAGTCCATCCTGACATGTTAAGACCTGAGGCAAACGTAAAGTGATACAAATGTTTTAAAACTAAAATATCTGTAATTGTGTTAATAAAATTGTCTTAAAACAATAAAACATATTTTCTCTAATAATGAGTACTTTATTCATCCTTTTTCTGACTCAAAAAACAGTGACACATTCCAAGGACCTCTTTCAGAAAGTTCAATGGTCCTTTGTTATAGATAAAAGTTTGCGAAATCCTGCTCGAGGCAGCCTGTATCTCCTAGGGGATGGACAAGGACCACAATGGAAAGAAAGTCTGACTTTTGCACCTAGTCCAGGAATATTACAACCTCTCTGTTGCTCTGTTGCCATACCTGAATTCTCCTTGGCAGGGGCGAGTATCCTGGTGGTATTTAGATATACTGGATGTAGGCATTTTGCTTCCTACTGCTACCTTGTTAACATTCATATTCATTATGATTGATCTTTGAGCACTCTCTTACTGCAAAGTGGTGCTCCCTGTTAAAGACAGTAAGTCAGAAGTGAGTGTTGATAGATTGTCTTGGGAATGAAAATAGCCATGTACTAAACATGTTTTGATTTACGTTGCTAGGGTTTTTTTCAGGCTGGGTAGAGACTTTGTTCTTGAGAAATGTCACATAGAAAGTGGAAAGTTTCAGTTAAGAATGGACACTTTTTGCCACAGCTATTATAGAGGTAAAATAACTGTGATGAGGATTAAATTAATATGTAAATACTCGCATGTGGCTTGAACTTCACATCACCCTTTGTTGTGGTTTAACCCCAGCCGGCAACTAAGCACCATCCAGCCGCTCGCTCACTGCCCCCGGTGGGATGGGGGAAATAATCGGAGGGGTAAAAGTGAGAACACTCATAGGTCGAGATAAAGACAGTTTAATAGGTAAAACAAAAGCCACTCACGCAAGCAAAGCAAAACAAGGAGTTCATTCACTACTTCCCATCGGCAGGGAGGCGGTCAGCCCACCCCACGAAAAC